ATTGATCATCTGCCTCCTGTATACTCCCTACTGGGGATCAAGCTCACAACCCAGGCATGTTCCCTGATCAGGATTCGAACTGTGACCTCCTGGTTCGTAGGTGTATGCTCAACCACTGAGCCACACCAGCCAGGCTAAACTAGGCACACTGTAAAGCTCCTCACTAAATAATACTCTATGGTAACAGGATATTAAGAATGATCTAAACAAAGACAACAAGATAAAGAATAGGGCAGAGGAAGAAAATAGAAATGGAAAATATAATTAAGGTAATTAGAAGTGCTGGTCAGTTGAGATTGTAGTGAGATAGAGGAATTTTCTGTGAAGAGAGTTGTCGATACAGGCAGTTTACAATATAATCTCAGTACAGGTCTCCCTATGCTGAGAAAGACCATCAGTGGATCCTTTTCTCCTCTTAGCATTGTGGTCATTGAACCCTGATAAATAAAAAGTTAGCTGTATCCACAGTGTCACTTAGAGTTAAAATTTCAGATTTTGAATAGGTTTTCACATTCTCCTTAGGAATTCTACCTCTAGGAAGAATAAAGCAAGATCAAAGGGTCCTTTCTAGGTTCATTGACTGCCTCCAGGTGAAATTTCTAGAATAAGTCAGACATCAAAATTCCTTTGACTATGGTCAGAATGAAACCCGCTCCCTGAGATCTTGAAAGCTATTGAAAGCCTGAAGGAAAACATTTTCTTAGAAAGAAAATGCACACAAAATAAGTGTTTCAGCCACTAGGAGAAGGAGAAGGTTATTTTTAAGTAAGTGGGAGACTATAAACTATCTCGGAGTTATGAAGATCTTTACATAAATTTTCCAAAGCATTTCCATATCTATTGACTCATTTGATCATCATGAATGCTCTCTGTGGTAAGTGTTTTTTTCCTAGGATTTTACAGATGACAACAGCAACCACCACCACCACCACCACCACCACCACCTGAGAGACATTGTGCTAGGCGTTTTATTTACCTGGTTTCACTAAATCCCCATAGCAACTCTGGAGGACACAATTTCCATTGTACAGCCAAGAGCCCACTTGATAGAGCAAAAAACAATCTAGATGCTACACTCTATCATCTCTGACTTGTCAGAACCAATTAAAGGCCCACCTGTGAATATTACCTTAGAATCCCCTCTATTCCTAACCCTGCTCACCTAGTTTAGTACTTTCTTTGTGGTGCCATGTTCTCTCAGGCTGCTGAAACCCTACTTAAGCCAGTCATATTTAACCACTCTCATCTATAGTCTAAATCAGCCTGAGGGCCAAATATAGCCTGCCCCCTGCTTTTCTAAGGCCCATCAGCTAAGGATGTTTTTCACCTTTTCACATGATTGAAAAAAATAAAAAAATAATACTTTGTGACTTGTGAGAATGATGTGAAATTCAAATTTCAGTGTCTATAAATAAGGTTTTGTTGCAGCACAGTCATGCTAATTCATTTACATTTTGTCTGAGGCAGCTTGCCTACAACTATGGCAGAGCTGAGTAGTTGCACCAGAGACTGACTGGCCTGTAAAACCTAAAATATTTATCTGACGCTCTGACTCTTTATGGGAAAAAAAAATTGTTGACCTCTGGTCAAAATTCAAAAGGACATTATATATA